GCGCACGCGCAGGCGCAGATCCCCGCGCAGGCGCACGTGCCCTACCGGCACGCGCTCATCCCCGCGCATGCGCAGCACTACCGCAGCTACATGCAGCTGGTGCAGCAGCGCTCGGCCGTGGAGTTCGCGCACAGCCAGACCAGCCTGGCCGGGCCCGAGCCGCGGCTCGAGTGGAAGGTGAAGGTGCGCAGCGACGGCTCGCGCTACATCACCAAGCGGCCGGTGCGCGACCGGCTGCTGCGGGAGCGCGCGCTGCGCATCCGCGAGGAGCGCAGCGGCGCCACCACGGACGACGACGCGGCCAGCGAGCTCAAGCTCGGCCGCTACTGGAGCCGCGAGGAGCGCAAGCAGCACGTGGTGCGCGCCAAGGAGCAGCGGCGCCGGCGCGCGCTGCTGCTGCACGGCCGGCCCGACCGCCCGCCCGAGCCGCCGGCCGCCGACGAGCGCCGGGAGCCGAGCATCCTGGAGCTGAGCCACAAGAAGATGCTGCGGCGGCGCAACCGGCGCATCCTGGACAACTGGATGACCGTGCAGGAGCTGCTGGCGCACGGCGCGCGGTCCCCGGACGGCGCGCGCGCGGCGCACCACTTCCTGTCGGTGACGACCGTGTGACAGTCGCTGACCGCCGCGTGATAGTCGCTGACCGCCGTGTGACTGCCGGCGACCACCGTGTGACAGTCGCTGACCACCGTGTGACAGTCGGCGACCACCGTGTGACGCGCGCGTGCGGTCAGACGCCCCGGGGCCGCGGTGCCAGCTCGAGGGGGAAACCCGCCCGCAGCGTCTCGGGAGGCGCTGTGAGCAAACGGGGCGTTTTCCGAACAGCGCTGGTACTTTTTACCTGTTGGCCTTTCACACAGAGCGTTTCAATGTCCATAGGATCTTTTTATGAAGCATACTTTCACAGACTAATTTGTTTAAACTGTATTCCTATAAAAAAGTTAAACACGCTTTTTTTCCTGCGGAAAACACAGATACAACTGCCGGTATGTATTTTTAACAGAACCCTATTTTATGATGTTACTTTGCTGAATGTGTGTCGTATGAGTGACCATTAATATATTACCTGGGTCAGGGCTTCAGCACAAAACCAAACTGGTAATGATTTGATACACGTAACCAAACCAGCAGCGTTTCGGTGTGTGATCCAATGTGAAACGTTTTTCTGATTCAAGTTCCCGAGCGAGGGTAAAGGTTTAAGCAGAAAGCCGGGCGTCCTGTATGTAGCTTTATGGGAGTTGAAAGCATGTTTGCAAATAGTGCAGCCCGTCGGAAGAACGTGCATGTACAGGAGCGTTGTGGCTGGAGATGGCTGTGGAGTTCCAGGTGTCATTGTGGTAAACCTTTGCTGTGGCGATTTGAAGGGGCAGACTTTGTACAAGCAAGCTCACGAAATCATGAGTAGCTACAAACATTAAGTAAAATGAAGTTAAAATAAATTATTTTCTATTTGATACATTTTGACGTGATTCCTCATTTTGCAGTGGTGTCTCTAAAAGCAAAGCCTTCTGCAATGTGTGTTCTTTTCCTTCCTTGCATTACCTGCTGCATTGGAAGAATGTGAGACTTTCAGATCATCGACCCTTCTTTCTGCGTGGAGCCCAAAGACACGTAAAACCAAGGATTGTCAGCGAAAAAACAAGGAATCAAACTCACCATCTAATTCTGCATTCTGACAGTCCATGTTGCGGAAAGCCACACCCCGTCCAGTGGCCTACAAACAAGAATAACGGATCAGTCAGGGTCATTTGATCAATCAGGGTCACGTCCACAATGAAATCTCTTTGGTCTGTTGCAGCCATTCCTGCCTGTCAGTGATGAAAACATCCCTGGTGACGAGGCCCATCTTCCCATTTATAAGATGCGTCTGAAAGTCACAAAATATTTCCATAAAATAGCAAGGGTCACCCAAGTGGGTGGGCTTCAAAACTGGTATCTTTCAGACTCCAAGTGCAGGATCCTAAATAATGAATTTGTTTCCTGGTTATAGTGCTTATAACAATTTCAGCTGTGATACCTGCTGAAAAAACAAAAATAAAATTGGATTAGGACGGGTGTCGTTTACCGTGACGTCAGGCACCTCATGTACACTTCCCACAGGCTCTTTTCCCACCAAAATTCCTCCTTTGGGGCCAAAATCTTGAGACTCATTAGTAGGCACACTTGTAATAATGGAACAACTTAAAGAAAATAAGATACTGAAATAGTCCTCATGATCACGCTGTCTGTCCATTTCCTCTTTCGGAACCAGTCCTGCCCAGATAATGACATCTGCTGCATGAGTCTAATCAAGACTCAGAGGAGAAATTCTGCCCAGGGCGGACATGACGGCCCTGACTGTCCAGCACTCTCCAAGGCCAGCGTCCAGCAGCCATGGGCCCTGGGCTCCCAGAGGCGTCCCCTCCCCAGCACTCTTCCCCGGACCCTACCTTTCTGGTTGCTGTTTCACAGGACAGACACCAGTCAGATGAGACAGACTGCTGCAAGGCATAGCTAAGCGCAGGGTTTCTTCGGGGAAATAGCTTTGTTCTCCGCCTGTGTTCTCGTGGAAGGCGGGCAGGGGATCCGTGGCATCAAGGACAGAGCTCCCACCTGAGCGATGACGCAGTGCCCGAGTCAAGCAGGGGGGGTCTCAGGGATCCCGGGTGCCTCTGGATTTGGGGGCCAGCCTGTGCCACTTAAGAAAAAGTGGAAGGAGATTAAAAAAACAACATGTAAGTCCAATTCCAGATCTTTCCATTCCAACTTACTTTTAAGTCACTTTATCGTGTAGATGCACTTGGTCATAATTTGCAGTGTCATACGAGGTTTCCTAAATTTGACAAATCAACTAACTCCTCAAAGAAATTAGACAAGACCTTAGAAATCACCGATTTATCCATGAGCAGGAGACTCAGGAGACAAGGACGTGTGGCTCACGAGTGAGCACACCAGGCTTTGCGTTCAGAACCCAGCACCTGTTTCCACAGCTCTCGTCACCACGCCTGCACGTGCCCCCAACCAAGAGACAGACAGACCATGGGTGCCCCACAGTGAGCGTACGCCAGGTGACACGGATCTGCCACCTCTCCAATGCGCCTGAGCTCCCAAGTGGCCCCCATTCAGGTGTTTCCAAGCTGGGGGGGTGAGGTGAGGGACACTCCTGGGTCATGGTGACATGGTGACAGGAGACCATTTACGGCTTCTGTTCTCGCTGATGTGAAACCCGTGCTCCCATGTAAACTGTCCACGGTCAACACTGGGCCGTTCTAGCACCCCAGCTACTTACGCTTATGCTTCTTGGGCTTCTTTAAGAGTCTGATGGAAGCTGTGGATTCTCCACAGAAACATATATGTGTAATAAATAACACACATAAATTATATGTAATTTTACATGGTTTCTATGCCCCCAAATGACCTCCTCCAAAGGTGCAAAAACCCCAAGTATAGACCAACTGAACCTGACCACTCTGTGGGTTTATTTTTCAAACACGTAATTGCATCTTATAACACTGTTTTATTTGAACACCATTTTTAGTATGAAGAGATATAGTTTTCCTATTAGAACCGTATTGCTTAAGGCAATTAAAATCCAACAAACTGCTAACACCCACACTTCAGTCACTGTGCTAATGGTTGTTTTTCTCACAGCTAAAAAAATTCTGGAACTGTGAAGATTGTCCATAGCAGCCACTCCAAGCTGGGCGACTCCAGTTTAAACTATTTCTGAAGTACAAAGGGAAAGAAATTAAAGTTTATTGATCGTCTGGTGCTACGCTGGCCACTTCAGTAGCCGCTAGCCACATCGGGCCATTAAGCACTTAAAATATTCAAGGTCTAAATTGCAATGTTCTAAGAAAATGGATTTTAAAGAGTATTAAAAGAAACACGTAATGTATTTCAATAATTTCATGCATGTTGAAATTATAGTTTGCATATGATAGGTTAAAAAAGTACATAATTGTAATTTCACCATTTCTTCTTACTTTCTACTGTGACTACTAGAAATTTCTGACTGCATGCGTGTTTCTCATATTCCTACTGGAGCAGAAATTCTCAGGCACAGTCTCGCCAGATCAGGGGCAATTGCACCAGGTAGGCGGCCTTGTCGGCGGTTCTGACATAGATCAAGAACCCAGACCCGCTGAGTGTAGATGTGAGATTTGAATTTGCATCCTGATGCAAAATCCGTCCTCCCCACGGGCCCCCGCCTACGCTGAGGTCCTGTGGCCTCTGCTCAGGGTACGTTCCTGTTACAATGAGAAACTGCTGCCGTGACGGGCATGTCACTCAGTTCCCGTTGGGGTCTTCGTTACCGACCAGTCTGATGTCCCTGGAACGTATGAAAAGGCATAAAAATGCAGGCATTTGGGGCACACACCAAGCTTTTCATCTTTTAGATGAAAACAGGAGATCCCAACCAGAAAGACTCCCAAAGCGATGATGACTGCCTAGGGAATACTAGTTGGAGAACTAATTAGGCTTATAAACTAGTATGAAAATTAACCAAGTAATTATCTCCTTGAAGCCTTAGAAGCAGGGAACAAATTAGCAAAATTGCCCAAACCAAGGAAGCCAACAATTCTGCCATCAGCAGCTGCAACCCGCACTCTTAGTTCTCTTTCCCAATTGTTTTAAGCACATTGGATTTCTGCAGAGCATCAACTAATTAAAACAAAACCACTAAAGCAGAGATGAGGTGCCACAGACGTCCTGGCCGATGCCGCAGCCTGTTTTGCTCGAGTGTGAGCCCCCTGAACAGTCACAGAACAGTGTGTGGCTCTTCAGGGTTCATTCAGGGGCTTTTCCAGTGGAGGATCCCTTGCCTTCCGCGTCCAGCTCAGCTGACCCTGGAAGGTGGTGATCTGCCGGAATGTGGTTTTGCCTTTCGGTGGCAGCTCGCTGACCTCGGGTCGCTCAGCATCTTTTGAAATGAAAACTGGAAATGAGTGACCCTAACTTCAATGGGGCTATTGTTACAACGTCAAACTTACCAATTTAGTGAGTCTTGCCAATGTCCTCAAAACCCAACTGAACTCCTCAGACACCATCAGAGCCTCTCAAAACGACCCTAGTGTTAAGGTGAGTAGTGTGCTTCGTCCTCCTTACCTGCCACCCCAGACATCGCGGTGTGATTCACAGGGTGAGGACTGACAACCACATCCGTGCTCCAGGAGCCACGTCAGCCAGCACAGCTCGGTTCCACCACAGTCGTGTGTGACCACCCGGTTCAGGGCCACAGTGAGTTCTCGGGTTGCTCACAGCCCAGTGGGAAAGAAAATAATAATCCAATTATCACACAAATAGAAAAATGTAAGGAAGGTTAGAGTGTGGTTGGGGAGATGGCCAGCGCCAGAGATTTCAGGGACGGTCTCCCAGGACGTGCCGTGGTCGTGCTGACAGCGAACGGAGGCGTGTGAGTTACGGGGCAGAGGCAGAGGCTGTGTTCCAGGGAGATGCAAAGTCCCTGGGGTGGGACACACGTGGCTTATTCGAAACAGCCCCCAGAAGGCAGCTGGTGTGGCTGGAGGTGAGACAGCAGTGCAGGAAGGGTGGTGTGTGAGGGCCAGCCGGTGGTATGGCAGGGAACTGCGTGTCCTTAGCCGAAAGCACCTGGCATTTCCCGAGCACCTGGCGTGTGCTAGAAACGACACCACGTGTTTCACGTGTGCTGACTCGTGTAGCCACAATAGCCTATGAGATGCATCGTTGCCCCTATTTTGCAGATAAGAAAACAAATAATTAGAGAAGCAACATGCTCAAAGGGAAAGCGCGGGGCAAGGCTCCGGGAAAACGTGAAGCCCGTCCTTCGGACCCACGCCCTCACCGTGCCAGGCGGTGGCCTCTGTGACGAGCCCTGGTCTTCTCCCTGGGGTGGGGGGTGGGGGGGCGCACGTTTCAGCAAGTGCCCAAGGCCTGTGCTGTGCGGCAGTAGCTCAGGCTGTTCCACAGGGCAGGTGGCCTGAACAGCAGGCAGTGACTTCCCTCCAGAGAGCAGAGGCCTGAGGTCAGACACTGGGGCCGGGGGACGTGCTGTGTCCCCAAACGGCTGGGCAGGCTCTATTCGCCGCCTCTTCTTCTAAGGACACTGATCCCATCATAGGTCCCGCCTTCACGCGCCCGTATCACCCTAAGGCCCCACCTCCACACAGCATCGCACTGGGGGTCTGGGTTTCCCTATAGGAATGTGGGGGACGCAGATACCTAGTCTGCAAGGTCATTTCGTGCTCTGCCCTTTTCCAGCTCGGTGACCCGTCTGTCTGCAGCCACTGCAGACGTACCTGTAACTCGCTCCTGCCGGGCCGACCAGGCTGACTGCAGGGAGAGAGCTTCCAGTCCGTCACCCTTCGGGAACACACAGCTCAGGAGCTCAGAGCGCGGGCCTCCCTGTGCCTCCCTGACCAGCGGAAGCCCCTCTGCCTGATCTCGCCACCTCACGCAGGAGCACCCGATCTGATGGGACAGTCCCTTCAAC